TCGAGAAAACCTTGGAGCCTCGCAGGTATATTGAACGCCCATGACTTAATCTCCTTCGTGTGCACGACTGGAGCCAGCGCCAGCATTACTTCAACCTTTTCGTTATATTCTGGATGCTCGTTCATCATCACATAAAAAGACACACTACCTTGACTATGACCTGCATAATACAACTTTTTATGCTTAGTTTGCGTGAGAATGTAATCAATTATTGTTGGCAAGTCAATAGAGCCTATTTCATGCCATGAAAAGTCGAAAAATTGTTTTGGATTGACATCGGGATCTATTGCGATGTGTTTACGAGAGAATGCATTTCCTCTAGCATTGCCTAACCAGACGTCAAAACCGTTTTTGGCGAGGTAATAAGGCAAGGATTTTTCACCACTCGTTAAATAGGAAAAAGAACTACAGACTAAGCCATGCATCAATAGAATCGGAGGTTTTTTTGGAGTTGATTTAGATGATTCTGAACGTATTCTATGGAGTTCCAATATGTAGCCATCTTTAGTTGTCACAGAATGATATTCAAAAGAATATCCAAGTGAATTTACAAATTGATCCTAAAAAATTTTAATTTTTTAATTTTAAGTAAATTAATTCCTATTATTGATTATTTTACAATGGAATATCCAACTTCTGGATACGCTAAATCTAATTTCGAAAGTTGTTTGAATCCATACGCGAGGAAAATCACTAAACTAGCGATAAAAATATAAGTCACTCGTCCCATGATGATTCTCCTGGCTAGTACACTATCACTGCACAATTTTTAATCGGAAACTTTACAATTCATCCATGGAAATTTATGTCACCATTCAATTGTATTCACATTTTATTTTTAAATGAGCAGCGCTCGAATGCGTTAATAATAATGAAGTGATGTTCGAAAAATAAAGTCAAATCACGCATCGAATCGAAAGCGAAAGGCAGGCGACGCGACGAAGGTTTTATTCGAACTTATTTAAAGTTAATAAAGTTGACTAAAGTAAAACAACATTGACCAAAGTTTACACTCCATCGACAACTAAAAATAAA